GAGAATTAAATAAGTAAGCATTTAAAACACTGCTTTGCACACAGTAAGCATTATCTTAAGTATTACACAGTTCTCTCTAACACCACGGCAGTCCAGTTACAATTGTGATATCTTCTTTCCTCTTATACTCTAAGTTCATACTGCTTCTGAAATTTCCATACCAAGAAACAACAGAACACAAGAACCAATATTTTATTTTATGTATTAGTCAAAACTAACTACTAGAACAAATTTTCTTTCACAGGTATTAACATAATATCAAATACGAATATAAGCACTTAAAAATATGTGATGGAAATAACGCTAGCAAAAAGTAGGGTATAGATCAGAATATATAATATGATAATTTCATGTTTAAAAATGGGAAGAATAATATGGTCATATTCATGCTTGTACATAAAATGGCTTTGCAAAGTTTCACAGCTGCTTATGGAGAGGGAGAAGTGCGTGTCTGGGTGAAGGGTATGAAAGAGATTATTCACCATGTACGCTTTAGTATCTTCAAATGTGAAACACCAAATGCATTATCTCTAGAATTCAACTGAAAGAAATGTACAGGGGTGGTCCTCAAACAAGTACTCTAGAAGCCAGGTTTCCGGTCTGCTACTAATTGTGTTACCTTGGACAAGCTGTTTAACCTCCGAGTCTAGGTGGACAAAGAAAGGAGTAGCAAAGATTTCTAGGTTCTATTCTAAAAATGTAAGATTCCAGGGTCCCTGGATGGCTCAGTCCATATAGCATGTGACTCTTGGATCTCAGGGTCATGAGTTCAAGCCCCATGTTGAGCAGCAGAGCTTACTTAAAAAACAAACAAACAAACAAAAAAACCTCAACGAAAGTAGTAAGTAGACGGCACTATTACTTTTTTTAAGATGTGAGAGAGGTATTAGTTCAACATTTTGCAAAAGAACACAATTTTTTGAGGAATTGATGGTTTTCAAATACTATTTTACAGTTTTTAAAACCGTAAAACTGTCAAGCCTATTCATCTTTTTTTTTTTTTTAAAGATTTCATTTATTTATTTGACACAGAGAGACACAGCGAGAGAGGGAATACAAGCAGGGGGAGTGGGAGAGGGAGAAGCAGGTTTCCCGCTGAGCAGGGAGCCCAATGGTTCACTCAATCCCAGGACCCTGGGATCATGACCTAAGCAGAAGGCAGACACTTAATGACTGAGCCACCCCAGGTGTCCCCCAAGCCTACATTCATCTTTAAAGATCACTTGTACTATTCTTAACATAAGAACCCTTGTAGAAGGGGGTCTAATGTAACTTGCAGAAAAAAGCTATAAAGAATATTCTGGGGGGAAAAAAAAAGAATATTCTGCATATTATATTGTTTCTCTTGCCACACTTCAGAGATTGTTTTAAATGCACTTTAAGTCTTTATACTATGGCTTGGAGGAGCAATAAAGTACACTAAAACAATTTACATCTAAAATACATAAATGACTATACCTAAAAAACCATACTACTTAAGGATGTTTATTATCAGATACTGCAAAAAAAGGTAACACCTCTGATCAATGATAACAGCTCTGAATATATAATTTATTCCAGGTATCATCCAGGTGTTCATTCCTTACATCATCATTAATCCCACCACTCACCTGGCAAAGCAGGTTTTAAGAGCCCAGTTTAACACAAGAAACAACCGAAGATCCACAAAGATAAGTGACTAGCTTGAGGCCACAGTCTAAAAGTAGCAGATTAGGAGCCCACCCAGAATCCGCAGTTCTGAGCAAGCTGCACTGAACAGGGTTAATGTTGGCTGGGAGGCTGGTGCAGGTTTGCAACAGACTATTTACTCATTTATATAAAAAGGAGGAAAAATAACGAGAAGAAAGCAAACCTTTTAATAAAGCTAAATGATTCAATTTAAAGTCTTTTATTTTGAAATTCTGGCCTCTCAAATCATTTGAGTTAAAATATCCTTTTTATAAATGAAATGAAAGCAGCTAGTGATGTGGGTTACTGTTGCTGTTTTTATTGGGTATACCTGGCAAAACTAAATAAATCAAAACAAATTTGGCAACTCCACTGCACCCTCCCAATATGGGGTGGGGGTAATAATTTATTTTGAAATCCAAAGTCTGGGGGCGCACACGGCTGGTTCAACCAGTGAAGCATGCAACTCCTGATCTCAGGGTTGTGAGTTCAAGAGCCACATTGGGTACAGAGATTAAATAAATTATCAAAAAAAAAAAAAAAAAAGAAAAGAAAAGAAAAGAAAAAAGAAATCCAAAGTCTGGGAACTACTCCCTTAGACAATGATGCCTCCCAAAATACTAGAGGACTTCACACACACACACACACACACACACACACACACACATGACCTTCAAAATTCTCTCATTCATCTCCATTCTATTTGGCTCAAGACACTTAAGGATTGAGAAATGAGAATAAAGTGAGTTTTAGCAACCCAAAGTCACATGAGTTAACAATGGGTTCTGGTAGTGGACTTTCCTCAGGATTCTTTTTACTGGGTAACTTTTCTCATCTTTCATCCGCAATTCTACTCTAACCTGGGCTCAGACTTTCTTTTCATAAGATAGTCACATTTTTTTAATACTTCTGCTAAGTAGCAATCAATACTTAAGTCAAATAAAAAGAATTACTTGAGGTCCCTACTAACCTGATTTTATTTAAAGGCAGTCTGACAAAATGAAACCTTTTAATGATGTTTATCCTACCAACTTAGAGAAAAAAAATTGGTCTATAAATCAGACTCAAGCCATTTTAATTTCCAAATTTCTGTACCTCCATTAAATATATTTGTATATATACACACACATAAACGTGTATATGGTATATACATACATGGAGCTTTACAAGTAGTTTATAAACAGGCTGATCAAACTGAGTAAGTTTCTTGAAAATAGTATTATTGTGTTTATAGCAAATAAGCTATTTACTCCTTGTTAGCCATGTCTTATTTCTTACCTATCCTCCTTTAGCGAGCATCGATTTTAAAATATTTTATGTACACAGCTACACAATTAAACATTAGTTCCTGTCACAACATACTAAATTCACATTTAAAACTATAAAGACATCCAGGTACTTTTAGTCTTACTTACATACTTATATATACTTTTAATATTCTATGTGATGTTATTTATATTATTTTATGGTACTTTATTAAAAATTTTTAAGAGCACAAAAACCTGGATCTTAGAGGATATGCAACTGAAAATATTTATAGTCTATACTTATTGCATGGTTCAAAAACACTCCTTTTTAAAGGCAAATCGATTTTAAAACCATAACCGTACAGTTTGGGTAAACATAAAGCACTCTTTCCATGCCTACAATGTAAAAGGTTCAGTTAAATCTATTATGGACCACAGAGTTTGCAACTCTAACACTGGTAATAATTCTGCCTAAATTCCTTACTAATCTAGTATCAAAGTTATTTTTATTTCCTTTTTTAAAAGATTACTTGAACTAAATTGCTGGATAGTCTTTTCACCTTACACTTCTCACCGTGTATTTACGCAACTAACTTCGGGTACAGGTGCTTCCAAGTACACCTGGACGTGCCATAAGCATGAAGGTGTCTGCACAGAAGTGGCTCCGCGCGTCTCGGAGGGATGCTCAGTCTATGAAGTCTACCGACGTGGCTCAGAATACTCAGCCCAGAACGTGACTCTGTCACACCGGCGAGCACAGCTGCTCAGTAACACCCGCACTGAAACACAGTGTTTACTGTAGCAATAACGACGCCTATTCTCCCGCTAAAGCAACAGGGTCTGGCTTTAGGGCAAAGGGGACAGAGCTGTCTAGAGGAAAGACGGCGGCTGGGGCCTGCGAGCGGTCACCCGACCACCCCACGGCCTGCCCGCTCCCGCAGTCACCAACGTGCGGGTCAAAACAAACTGGCAAGCGACACGTTCCTGTCTACGCAGCGATCTGCAGGTTGGGGGCGGGGTGGGGGGGAGCGGCCCGAACGCAGCTCCTGCTAAGAAACGCGGAACAGCAGGCGAGTACGTGTCCGTGGGAACCGTCACCGACCAGTTCCGAAGTCGCGTCTTCCACTTCGGCCACTTTCAACGAACCTCCCCCCCCCCACCAGCATCTTTAAAAGGAGCCGCTTTAGGACGCGAATTCCTCTTTTCCCAAAGTAACTCGCCCAGGACAACCAGGACAGCAAATTCCAACAGACGAACCCCCCGCGATCCGAGAGCCCCGAGCCACCCCGCTCCGGGAGCCGAGCGCTCTCGGTCTCCTCGGGGCGCCCCCGACCACCGACGACCTGCGCGAGTCGGCCCCACGCCCCGCACCGTCCCCGCACCCGTCTTGGGCACACGGGGCTCCCACCGGACCCGGCGTCCGGCCGGCGCCGAGGACAGGGTCCCGGAGCCCGGGTGTGCGCGGCGCCGGGCTCTCGCTCCGCACCGGGTCACACGCGCTCCGGCCCGCGAACGCCGCCGTCCCAGGGGCCGCACGCTCGTCGGCGCCGGAGCACAAAGGGGCCCGACCGCCGAGCACCTGTCCGGGCCGGGGAGACCGGGACTGCGAGCCCCTAGTCCGCGCGGGCCGCACCGCCCCCGGAGCCCGCGGAGCCCGGTGCCCTCGCGGCGCCCGGCGCAGGGTCCCGCACCCCGGCCCGCCCCCCGGCGCGAACCAGGAAATCGGTCGCGCCCGCCGCCACCCGCCCTCGGCGAGCCCCCTCGCCCCCGCCGGGCCCGGCCGCAGCCCGCCCGCCCGCTCCCGGTCCGCGCCGGCCTCCCCGCGGCACTCTGCCACCTCATCCCTCCTCGCCGGCCTCGCGGCCCCGCCGCCCCCGCCCCGGCGGCCTGCGCTCGGGCCGCCCCTCGGGCCGGGGCCGCCGGCCGCCTCCCCACGCCCGGCCGCGCTCGCAGCGCCGTCGGTCCCTCCGCGGCCCGGTCCCCGCCGGCACCCAGGCCCGAGCTCCCGCCGCGCGCTCCCCGCCCCCAGCCTCCGCCCTCACCCAGCGCGACCGCTCCCGGCCCCGCTCCCCCGCGCCGGGCTACCTGGAGGCAAGGGCGGCGGAGCACTTCACCCAGGGCCCCAGGTCGCAGAGGGCCCGGTGCTCGGGGTCCCGCTCCTTCTCCCGCTCCACGTGGTAGGCGTAGATGGAGAGCAGGATCCCGGCGGCGCACACTGCATACCGGGCCACCCGCTCCCACCGCGGCACCGACACTCTCAGCAGGACGGGCGCCGCCATCTTCCCCCCGCCGCCGCCGCCGCCGCCGCCGCCGCCGCCCTCCGCCTCCACTTCAGCCGCCGCCGCCCGTCGGGGCCCGACCCAGCCGCCGCCGCCGCCGCCTCCGCCGCCGCCGCCACCGCCGCCGCCGCCGCCGCGCCCCATTGGTTCCACCGCCTGCTCCGGGCCCCGCCCCCACAGGCGCGCGGCCCAACCGCCCCGAAAGGAGAGCGCCCGGCGGGGCGGGGAAGGCGCGCGCGGGCGCGGAGGGAGGGGGCGGAGCGCGCAACCGTCGGGAGGCGGGGCCGGCAGGCGGGGCCGGCAGGCGGAGACAGAGGCGGCGCGCGCAGCGGGCGGCACCGAGAGGAGGGGCGTGGCCAGGGGGCGGGGCGGGGCTCTGGGAGTAAGGGGCGGGGAAGGGAACGGAGGGGAGGGGTGGGGCCTGAGGGCCTTAGGGGCCTGAGTGCGATGAATAATAAATTTCAAAGATACCACCCAGTGTGACTAAGTGAGCCCTTGGCCCCTTCTCCTGGGGGTGGTGATCAATTGGCACAGTATTTTCCTTTTTTGTCATTATCATTTGATATTTTTGACCCAATCCAAATTAACCCTGGCAACGCCAGAGCTCCAGAGCCTCGCTTCCATTACTGGATACGCCCCACCACGACCTCCAACACCTCCGCGTTCAACAGGTGCAAACTTAAATATTCTTAAAAATTATTTATGAGAAGACAAAAAAATTATTTATAATGCCTTGCTTCTCTGTAAGGTGAACTTGAGATGGCTTAACATAATTAATGTGATACAGAAAAATGTAAAAATGAACTGAAAAACCAGGACAAAGAAAAAGACAAGTCAGAATAAAAGGACACACCAGGAGTAAGAATACAGATAAGCAGGTCACAAGGTCTTGCATAATTATTAAAATTCAACCATAAATTTGGCTCTGAGATTCCTGATGGTCACGATTAAAAAACAAAAACAAAAACAGACACGTGTGATTGTCACCGTTTCTGAGAAGAAAGAAACACACCATTCTTGGAGATGGCCAGCTTTTCCCTGGTTGCAGCTCTCAAAGAGATTTCAGGAGCTTTATATAGTGATTCTGAGTAAGAAGCAATGTCCTTGCATTATCTATTGTTGGGTAACAGATTACCCCAACTTCAGCAGCTTAAAACAAAATCCCTTATTTTCTCACAGTTTCCGTGGGTCAGGGATGTGGGTGTCATTCTGCTGGGTCCTCTGGGTCAGGGTCTCTTACAAAGCTGCATTCAGCTCAGCCAGGGCCAGGCATCTCAAGGCAGGAGGATCCTCTTCCAGGCTCACTCAAACACCACTGCAAGCCCTCAGGTCCTTCGTTAGTTCCTGCCACTGGGACCTCTCCATACGAATTATTTCCCAATAAAGCCAGAGGGGAAAAAAGAAGCTAGTCTCTGGGTCCAGTCTGCACTGAAAGGGAGGGGATTACACAAAAGCATGGAAACCAGGAGAGGGGATCACCGGGAGTTATCTTAAAGGTTGCCTACCACAGTCCTCGAAAGATCACCACTCTAATTCTCTAGTGGTTTCCATAAATCCAAGTGAAGTCATTCTCTTGCAACCCCCTTCCTTCCATATTGACTTGCTGAGAGCCATTGATCATCTGGCTTCTTGCACTCATTATGTCTGTAAGGTTTATCCATGCTATTGTACATAGCAATTGTTACTTTTCATTGCTGTGTTATAATCCATTATATGCATAACCACTATTATACTTTTATCTTATTTTTTTGTTTTGTTTTGTTTTTTTTGTTTTGTTTTATTTTTATTAAATTTTAGTTAGTTGACATATAGTTTCAAGAGTAGAAGGTAGTAATTCATCACTTGTATAACATCCAGTGCTCATGATAACAAGTGTCCTCCTTAATACTCATCACCCACCTAGGCCATCCCCCTACCCACCTCCCTCCATCAACCTCAGTTTGTTCTCTATAGTTAAGAGTCTTATATGGTTTGCTTCCCTCTCTCCTCTTTTTTTTTCTTACCCCTTCCCATATGTTTATCTGTTTTGTTTCTTAAATTCCACATAATGAGTGAAATCACATGGTGTCTTCCTCTAACTTACTTCGCTTAGTATAGCACACTCTAATTCCATCCACATCATTGCAAATGGAAAGATTTCATTCCTCTTAATCATTGAATAATATTCCATTCTGTGTGTGTGTGTGTGTGTGTGTGTGTGTGTGTACCACACCTCCTTCATCCATTCATAAGTTGATGAACATTTGGGCTTTTCCCATAATTTGGCTGTTAGGATAATACTGCCATAAACATCATGGTGCATGGGTCCCTTTGAATCAGTATTTTTGTATCCTTTGGGTAAATATCTAGTAATGGGGTTGCTGGGTCATAGGGTAGCTCTATTTTCAACTTTTGAGGAACCTCCATGCTGTTTTCCAGAGTGGCTGCACCAGCTTGCATTCCCACCAACAGTGTAGGAGGGTTCCCCTTTCTCCGCATCCTTGCCAACATCTGTTGTTTCCTGACTTGTTAGTTTTAGCCATTCTGACAGGTGCGAGGTGGCATCTCACTGTGGTTTTGATTTGTATTTCCCTGATGCTGAGTGATGGGGAGCACTTTTTCATGTGTCTGTTAGCTATCTGGATGTCTTCTTTGAAAAAAATAACTATTCATGTCTTCTGCCCATTTCTTCACTGGATTATTTGTTTTGGGGGTGTTGAGTTTAAGAAACTCTTCATACATTTTGGATATTAACCCTTTATCAGATATGTCATTTGCGAATATCTTCTCCCATCCCAGAGGCTGCCTTTTAGTCTTGTTTGTTTCTTTCATTGTGCAGAAGTTTTTTATCTTGATGAAGTGCCCATAGTTCATTTTTGCTTTTGTTTCCGTTGCCTCTAGAGATGTGTCTAGTAAAAAGTTGCTACAGCTGAGGTCAAAGAGGTTGCCATCTGTGTTTTCCTCTAGGATTTTTATGGATTCAGGCCTCACATCTAGGTATTTAATCCATTGTGAATTTATTTTTGTGTGTGGTGTAAGAAAGTGGCCCAGTTTCACTCTACCGCATGTTGCTGTCCAGTTTTCCCAGAACCATTTGTTGAAGAGACTTTTTTCTATAGGATATTCCTCCCTGCTTTGTCAAAGATTAATTCACCACATAGCCGTGGGTCCATTTCGGGTTTTCTATTTTGTTCCATTGATCTATGTGTCTGTTTTTATGCCAGTACCATACTGTCTTGATGACTACAGCTTTGTAGTAGAGCTTGAAGTCTGAAACCGCGAAGCTTCTGACTTTTCGTTTTCAGGATTGCTCTATTTGGGGTCTTTTTGGTTCCATACAAATTTTTGGATTGTTTGTTCTAGCTCTGTGAAAAATGCTGGTGGTATTTTAACAGGAATTGCATCAAATGTATAGATTGCTTTGGGTAATATAGACATTTTACCAATGTTTATTCTTCCAATCCATTAGCATGAACAGTTTTCCATTTCTTTGTGTCTTCTTCAATTTCTTTCCTAAATTTTCAGGGTACAGTTCTTTTTACCATCTTTGGTTAGGTTTATTCCTAGGTATGTTGTTATTTTGGTGCAACTGTAAATGGAACTGATCCTGATTCCTTGATTCCTTTTTCTGCTGCTTCATTATTAGTGTACAGAAATGCAACAGATTTCTGTATGTTGATTTTGTATCCTGCGAATTTGCTGAATTCATGTATTAGTTCTAGCAATTTTTTGGTGGAGTCTTTCAGGTTTTCTACATAGAGTATCATGTCATCTGCAGATAGTGAAAGTGTGACTTCTCCCTTGCTGATTTAGATGCCTTTTCTTTCTTTTTGTTTTCTGATTGCTTTGGCTAAGACTTCCAGTACTATGTTAAATAACAACCGTGGACATCCCTGTCTCATTCCTGGCTATAACCACAATTTTATCTCTCCGTTCTCTTCACTGTTGATAGACATTGATCTGTTTTAGCTATTATGAATTACATTGCTATGAACATCCTATAAACGTCTTTTGGTGGACATAAGCACTCATTTCTATTGGGAAACACATTCAGGAGTGGGATTAGCCAGACAGTATTAGTATATATTCCCTCTGTCAATTCAGGTCTTCCACAAAGCAGATGGAACTAGATGGGTAAGAGCTTTACAGGGGGTGATGTCTGGGAAGGATAAAGGAGAGAGGGAGCAAGGGCAGACATGGGGAACCTCCAGACCACAGTGTGGGTCTGACCACTGTGAAAACTCTGCGATTTCAGCCAGGCTGACAGGGGGCCCAGGCAACAGGCTGTCTGTCACAGGAGCTGTCTGCACGACGGCCTGGAACTAGTACGTCTGCCATGCACAGTACTGACTGGGAGCAGCCTGGAAACGGCATGGCCTCAGCATGAACACTGGAGTGGACCCAAAGGTATGGCAGCTGGAGGCTATTGGCTGACTAGCAGCCCCTTGCAGCTGGCTGTCTTGAAGGGAGAGCTGAGTGGTGTACCACCAGGTCCACCATACTACCAAGCAGCTTTCCAAAGTGCTTATACCGATTTAAACTCCCACTAACAGTGTTTGAGATTTCCTCATACTCTAAATCCTCAACAATGCTTTGTGGTACAGATTGTCTTATTGGATTATAGAAGTTCTTTATATATTCCAGATACAAACCCTTTGTCAATACATGTATTGCAGATATCTTCTCCCACACTGTGTCTTGCCTTTTCCCTCTCTTGCTGATGTTTTTTGCTGAACAACAGAAGAGACTTTGAATTCCGCACATACATTCCACTACCTCTCAACTTGGAGACTTCAACCTCCTCCTTATTCACAGCTTACCTGTCTCATTCTTCTAGAAGGCTTTCCCACCCCTGTTGTACTAGTGAGGATTCTGGGTCGCCTGGGTGGCTCAGTCAGTTGGGCATCTGCCTTCGGCTTAGGTCATGATCCAAGGGGCCTGGGATTGAGCCCTGCATGGGGTTCCTGGTCAGTGTGGAGCCTGCTTCTCTCTCTTCCTTTGTCATCCCTCCCACCTTGTGCTTTCTGGTTCTCTCTATCTCTCCGTCAAATAAATAGATAAAATCTATAGTAGTGAGGACTCTGGTAACA